GCAAAAAACAAATGTTCCATTTTTTTCTCCGCTTGTTTTGTTTGTATGTGGATTTATATAGAAATACTTGTAACAGCTCAGACACCATACTTCAATTTCATTCTTTTCATTTCGAATGTACAAGCGTTTATAATGGAAAAAAAAACAGCCACCAAAATCGACAATGACAACAACAACGACAACAAAAAACTGCAATTCATGCTGCATAAAAAATCGAACTTAAACCAAACTTAAAATGATAAATCTACCAAATGCTGTTATCTGCTGAAGACACTGAAAATCAATTTGGTTTTTTGTCGCTGTCAGGGCGATTGGCAGGGATGGGTCGTGGTGGGTGGTTGGAGTGAGTGAGTGAGTGAGGGTGACTGAGTCAGTGCGTAAAAGACCCAATTGGAATGTTTGCATAACCACTAGCATTGTGTTGTTGCTGTTGTTGTTATTGTTATTTGCATTGCAATTCGTAGCCTGAAAATCGAAATGTTACATTTTTTCCGGGTTTGATTGAGGAGGAGAAGAACAAGAGGACGAAGATAAAAGCACAGGGTAATGGAACAAAAACCTATTAAAAACTACAACCATCAACGTTCCAATACATACGAAGAGGAAGGAGAACACGAAGGATGTGGCAGTGGCAGTAGTGCAAAAGTATTCTGGAATCAAAACCACAAGCAAATACCAAAATCTCTCAATTTGATAGAAAGCAAGTGGACGAGACGAGTGGCTAGAGCAAGGACGACATCACCATCATCAGTAGAAGCAGCAGCAGAAGAAGAAGACAAAGATGACAAGGAAGGATATAAGAAATCCGGTATTACTGTAAGAAAATTTGCAAATGGTTTTTGGCCAGTTTGAGTGGTATGAAGGAAATTGTTTGAAGTACAAAATTGGGTTAATAGCTGGGATTTATTTGGCAAAACATACAGACAGCCGCATGCGAATGTCTGGGAACTATGGTGGTTGCAGATAAAAGAAGATAAATTTGATTTTCCTGTAACAATTCGGTTTTTTTTTTTTAACATGAAGTAAAGTGCATGTAAAGGAGTGGTATTTCTATGTGGAAAAAAAAAATTCAAATGCTTTTGAATATTTTTATTGTAAATTTCTATAAGGGTCCTTTAATGGTTTTTAAATTAATTTTTTATCAACACACTAATTGCATTGAAAAAATTGAAAAAAAAAAAAAAAAACAAACAAAAAAGTGAAAATATATTGGATCCTCTTGTCAAGGATTTAGTTACCTATTAGGAGCAACAAATTTTACCTTTCAGATACCTTCCTTGAAAAATGAGTCCAAAATCTTAAAAAATACGTTAAATCAGGGTTGCCCTTATATGAGGGTTATATGAGATATTTGGAATACAAATGGACGAACGGCATTTTACCCAAATCAAGAATACATTATATGGGATAGAATATTGTTATTTGGAGTTGCCATAAACAGAATAGTGGAATGTCGTCAATATTATAATGAAGGACCGTCAGAGTGAACGAAAAGGGGAATTTAACTTCAATGATATAATACTTGACTACTTAAGGCCGACGTAGGTTAATTAATATAGACCCTAATCAATGTAGACCTTAGTCGGACATTAATATTAAGAAGTGGAAAATTTGGAAAGCTTGAAGTCGCTATTTTGCCTCATATGAAACCTCGATTATCCAAAAATTTTATCCGTAGTGTGTGTTTGTGAAATTTCTTTTAGCGTTTTTTTAAATCTTGAACCCTTTGGTGGGGAGGTACCAGAAGAAGTGCACCGATATCCCATCTTTTCACTAGACCTAGGGTTAATACATATATTGTGGTGTGTGAAATATGAAGAGAACTGGATGCCTATTTTGGATTTAATAATCGTTTTGGTTATTCAAAACATTGACGCTTTGTGGAGGAGGTACCAGAAGGAGTGGAGCGATATCCCATCTTTACACTACAACTTGGGTTAATAAAAATATTGTGATATGTCAAATATGAAAAGATTCGGATTCTTTTTTTCGGATTTTATAATCGTTTTGGTCATTTAAAATATTGAGGCTTTGTGGGGGAGGTACTTGATGGAGTGGACCGATATTGTCCATTTTCGCACTGATCCAAATATTAGAATTTGCAAAGTTGGAGCAAAATTGGTTCATCCTCTCTCTTTCTGTGCAGTAAATTATTTTCTTTGAAAATTTCGACCTTTTGTGGGGAAGGTACCAGAAGGAGTGGACCCACATTGCTCAACTCCGAACTGGATCTAAGTTTGGTAATAATATCACGATGTACCCAAGTTTGGAACAAATTTGATACTCCCTTCGAGAGTTATCGCACCAGCCAACCAGACAGACGGACGGACGCTAGACCGCAAATGTCTTGAAACGGTTTTGCTCCAAAGATACTTAGGGCCTAAAACCGTTATTTCGATGAGGCACGTTTTGGCCGTATCAAATTATATATACCCTCTCTAGCCATATGACGGAGGGTATAATAATGTAAGACGTGTACTATAAGACGGAATATAATACAATTTAAGACTTTAAGACCTGAGTCTTAATCGAGAACTAGGCTAAGCCCCATACTAAGGTAACTTTTTTTCAGACTTTTCAATATTTTGACATTTTGTGGGAAGTATCAGAACACATATCTCTCCGTCACAGGAGAAAATACCTCCTATTTCCATGCAGCGACATATCCAGAAATATATTTGAAAATCATTTCGAATGGCTAAACTAGCCAAAGTAATTTTTCCATGCAAAAATACAAAAAAGGTCACAGGAAACGATAAGGGCGCGTGCCTGGGCCTCTCTGTTGTTTCCGCTGTTTCCCTTAGGTATATTTTTGATTGCTATCCAATGAAGAGAGAATATAATGTGAATATACAAGCAACCAGAAGTTACCATCTCAGCCAAGGGTTCCCATATTTTGTGAAAAATATACATTGACATTTAACAGAGGCATTGACTTCACTCCTAATGTTGATATATTAGCCATATTAAGGTATAGCCAGAATTTAGTACACTTGAACATTTTCCAACTCATAACTAAATTAAGACGATAAAACTTATTTTATTTGAAAGCCTAATGGATCTCATCCAATTATTCAAAATTTAAAAAAAAATACTTTTGATTACCCGCTTAAAACTTCGATTAGGACTTAATCCGTTCTCCTCAAATTACTGCCACTATTCTCCAATTTTTTTTCAAACTCAATTCTATGATTATTTCTTCTAAATATACAAATTAAGCTGACTTAATTGAAACAAAGCGTAGATACAAAGAAAACTATTCAAGGGGAAGAATTCAAGTGGTGAAAGGTTTGAATGTCGAACATATGTTGCCGCATTGTGAAGGTGAAGGGGGGATACGGACGAATCCTGCGAAACAATGAAGCAAACGGCATCCACTCATTTCTCAAAGCGACAAATGAATCAAACAGTTTGGTCTTGTTGAGTAACAACAACAACAGCAACGACACACGACAAATTGTTGGGATTAACACAGAAGGAAAAACGTAAGCAACAAGAACAACAGGGAGAACAAAAAAGGACAACAGTCAAAACAGGACACAAACGTGAACATATTTCAATTGTGTCTTTTAGAAATGAATTGCTGCGTACGTTTTAGAATTATCTATTGTGTGATTGTAAATGTGAGTGTGTGGGTGTATGTGTGTTGGGTATGAGAATAACAACTGCCTTTGGCGAACACTCACACAGGACCACGTATCACTCAAGGATGACCTTTAAGTATGTGACTCTTCAATGTTAACCCTAAATTGAAGATGGGGAGGGGAGGAGGAGCAGGAGGACATTGCATCTTCCTCATACAAACATTTAATTCTGGAATCATTTCAAACTGAATGTTGGCTGACAAATGAACGAACACAGACGATTGTTGATGCCGCACGCTCGGTTACAACAATCACATCAGTGAATGAAAAAGAAAGTTAACAGAGGAGAGCAAAAAACAAGAGGCAAAAGCAAAGAATGCTGCTGCTGTTGTAACAACTGCCAGCAAAACCAAGCAATCGACCAGCAGTCATTGTTGTCAACTACGTTTAATTTTTTTCGTTCGTTCGTTCGTTCGCCCGTCCGTTCTCTCATTCGTTTCTTTTTTAATTAAAAAAGGGATTTTCAACATAATCCCCCAGATGAAACTTCTAACATTCGTCGACGATGACGACTAACTCGAAAACATCATCAGGCAAAAGCCATAGAAGTTGTCCTGATACCACTGGCCACCATAGATAGACCATCGCCGTGGGATTGTGTTAAAAGCGTGCTGAGTGCCCGGGGTGGCCCATATCTTCTCCCTCGAGACTCGAAGCACGGACAGGAGTGAAGATAAATATCAATTTGTGGTTTTTGTGGACACCCGCATTTGAAAAACGTTCACAGACAATGCTGTCAGTTCGATATGACCATAACATAAAGCCTTTAGTTTGATTATACACATGGACATACCTACGTACACATGTGTTGGAAATGGAGGGGACAGTGTCTGACCTAATGAATTACATATGGGCGGAAAGATTTTTGAAATCAAAATTTGTTCAGTACACTTATACGATTTTCTAGCCTCAGAACCGGTTTTAATGAAAATTTAAATATTTTTTCTATTCTATTTCATGTCAAGTAGGACAAACCGCCTTTACCTTGACAGGTTTTGTAGCAAAACTAAGAACATGTTTATAAGATCAGATTTCATTAGACGTTTAGACAAGACTGAAAATTTACGGAAATAATGCTAGGATCTCACATTTAGTACCAACGAAGGATATGAGATGTACAAAAAGGGTCCGTGATATTCAAATATATTGTAAAACGGAAGCCTTGTCATTAGAAATCCTACGTTCAGGCTTTTGACCACTGACGAATAATTTTACGTAACGAAAAGTATGTTTCTGAGAACAAGCTTTTTGTTCCAGCTCAATATCCAGAATCGTCTTGCATATTGTTTACATTGATTGTGACGACGAAAGTCATTTCATTTGTTTTCGTCCCCACTTTGTTGTTTAATTGTTTAATTGTCAAATTGTCAAATTTATTTGTGTAAATAATGAATTATTTATATAAATATGAATTTTCATAAACACCGCTTTTTATTTCCAAAACTTAACCAATCCCCCTCATAATTATTTACATCGATTTCTTGTTTGGCATTGATTTTAACACTGGACAGTTAGGTTCAATGACCGTCATATTCAAGGCCACGCAGTCACAGCGAGCAATGTTGTTAGATCAACGCACAACTGCAATGACAATGCACTGCACCAATGCATAGGCAGCCAACAACAAGCAAGCATCACAACGATCGATTCAACCAAAGCATTGCGCCAATGCATAAACACACAACAACAAGCAAGCATGGCACAATGCATAAACGCACAACAACAAACAAGACTCACTGGGCATTGATGCTAATGCATGGTAGTGGAGACCGGACAACGCAGGCATAGCATAACAACAAAGACCATGCATGACAGTGAACCATCGTTCGATGATGGCAAAGCGAATGCATGGAAGACAAAATTTATAACTGTTTTGTCTAACAACAAAAAGGCTTTGCCATAGAAAGTCTGAGATCACGTGACATGCTGCGATCCTATAAAAAGGAAAAGTTCTATGAGAAGTTCTTTCAGTTTTTGAAGTGAACAACAGCAAAGAAGTCAGGTGAGTCAGAGTGGTGACAAGATAGGAAAACTGTTAGAGGTGTCATAGCCCTTCGGTAACTCGTGTTCTCTAACTAGATTCTAAACCCTTGAGGTGTCGCAAAGCCCTTGGGTTCTTCGGGAATTTAGCCCTTGAGGTGTCGTAAAGCCCTTGGGTTCTTCGGGAATTAACCCCTTGAGGTGTCGTAAAGCCCTTGGGTTCTTCGGGTTTCTTCGCTTCTAACCCCTTGAGGTGTCGTAAAGCCCTTGGGTGCTTCGGGAATTAACCCCTTGAGGTGTCGTAAAGCCCTTGGGTTCTTCGGGTTTCTTCGCTTCTAACCCCTTGAGGTGTCGTAAAGCCCTTGGGTGCTTCGGGAATTAACCCCTTGAGGTGTCGTAAAGCCCTTGGGTTCTTCGGGTTTCTTCGCTTCTAACCCCTTGAGGTGTCGTAAAGCCCTTGGGTGCTTCGGGAATTAACCCCTTGAGGTGTCGTAAAGCCCTTGGGTCTTCGGGTATTAACCCCTTGAGGTGTTTTGAAGCCCTTGGGATCATCGTATTTATCCCCTCGAGGCGTTAAAGCCCTTCGGGTCTCTTCGTTTGTAACCCCTTGAGGTGTCAAAGCCCTTGGGCCTTCTGGTATTAACCCCTTGAGGTGTTTTGAAGCCCTTGGGTTCGTCGTATCTATCCCCTTGAGGCGTTAAAGTCCTTCGGGTCTCTTCGTTTTTAACCCCTTGAGGCGTCAAAGCCCTTGGGCCTTCTGGTATTAACCCCTTGAGGTGTTTTTGAAGCCCTTGGGGTCATCGTTTTAACCCCTTGAGGTGTAAAGCCCTTGGGTTCTTCTTTATCAACCCCATTGAGGTGTTCAAGCCCTTCGGGTATCCCCGTTTAATCCCTTGAGGTGTCTACAGCCCTTGGTTTCTACGTTCTTCAATCCCTCGAGGTGGGGTGTTTTCGACAAACACAGGAGGATAACCAGCATCAGAAGAGCAAGGACGCTAAATTTGCCGCATTATATACCAAAATCTATATATACTTTCTTACAAGAGCTGTTTAATATAAGTAAACCCCAATCAATTCTGAATAAACGTTATTTATTTTGCTTAAAACACAAACAACTTGCGTTTTTTACTCTCTCGGTCACTTTATAAATTTCTGTGGCAGACCCTAGACCCCGCGAGCATACCTTAGCCAGAAGAAGGGAATTTGGGTCGTTACAGTGGCGCCCGAGCAGGGACCGTGAGAGAGTTTAAACGTTAAACAAGAATTGATTGGAAGGTTACGGGAATGCCGGCATCTTTGCGTGTCTCCTGGGCCTACACCCTAAGAAGGGAAGACTTGTTGGCCTATTTAGAGGAGTTCGGTTGTCCAACATCTGGTACTGTCGAAGAGCTTCGGAGACGGTTCGCCCTCCTATTATCGGAGGATCACTCCCCTCAACGATTCTCTCGACTCATAGAATTGCAGGAGAAATATGAGAAGCCAGCTACTAGCCAGGAATTGAAGTTTCTCACCCCGCAGAAAACACCCAGTATAACGGTCACCGCGTCAACTACTCCATCCGGAGGAATCAATGTTCCAGCAAACGAAAACCAAGCCGCGGCTGCTTCTTCAAATATTACCCCCGTACAGCCTAGTACGGATATTAACAAAGATAAGGCGGTTTGGGATCCTCGAGCCCTAGCAGACCAGGTCCGAAAATGGAACATCAGTTATGATGGTAGTCGAGGTCCCCTAGAATTTATCGAAAGACTGGAAGAGCTGGCCGTCATGTATGAGGTTAACCTTGAATATTTGCCCCGAATGATGCCAGAAGTATTAAAGGAAAATGCATTGGTATGGTACCGGAACAACAATCAGCAATGGACAACCTGGAAACAACTTCGAGAAGACTTCCTTCGTTTCTTTTTGCCGTCTAGGTATTTCGAACAGTTGGAAGACGAAATACGAAAAAGAAAACAACGGCCACGGGAACCCTTTAAATCATATACGTTAAGCATGCAAAACTTGATGCGCCACACCGCATATACGGAGGGCCAGAAACTCGAAAGGATTTTTAGAAATGCCCTCCCAGAATACCTCTGGTATATAAGACGCCGGGATTTTCATACGCTTAGCGACCTGCTCGAAATGGCAGACGATTTAGAGAGTTTACCTCCCGGTTCCGGTCCCATACGCGAGCAACATCGACAAATAGATCCGACCGACCTGGGAAGCAAACAGGACCGCCTCGATCCAAGCACTGCCTGTAGACGCTGTGCTCAACCTGGACATTTTGCATCTGGGTGTAGAAATTCTCAGGTTTTGTTTTGCTGGGATTGTGGTCGTAGAGGAGTACGCACCACAGATTGTTGCCGCGTTATGTCGGGAAACGGCAATCGGGTCCGAAAGAACAGAGGGGCAACGGATCCGCTGAAAATGGCCAGTCCCCTCAACTGAGAACTTCGCTTCACGTCGAAGCAACTAAACTGGTGGCCACTATAATAGTTGCGGGTCAGCCTCTAGCTGCAACGGTGGATACTGGGGCCACTAGTAATTTCATCAGTGAAAAACTACGCGACACCATTGGGCCGGACCTCTTAAGTACACCACACACTGCCCATGTTACCTTAGCCGACGGTTCCCTACGGCAAATACGAGAAGCGGTTCATACTCAGGTCATCTTTGGAAACCGGCGATTGTCAGTCAGATTTCTAGTTATGCCTGACGCCACAGAGGACCTACTACTAGGACTAGACTTTTTAGTTAAAAGCGAGGCACGTATCAGCTGTGCCGGTCTCACCTGCGAATTCGGAGTCCAGCCAGAAGTACATCATCTCGGAACAATCATAACCACGTCAGCAGCTAACGAAGAAGGAGCCGAAGCGGCTGGACATAAAACGGTAAGTGAGCTTGAAACAGAGGACCAAGCAAGGATACAATCCTTCCTAGATGTTGAACTCGGACAGTTTGAAGAAATTCAAGGCCCGTCTACCGCGGCGATCCATCGAATTAAAATGAAGGACGTCCGGCCCTTTAAGGCCCGATATGCACCCCGAAATCCAGCTATGCAGGCCATCATAGATGACAAAATTAACGAGCTTCTAACATTAGGATACATAGAGCCCTCACATAGCCCATACAGTTCCCCAATTACTTTGGCCCAAAAAAGAAACGGGACGTGGCGACTATGTATAGACTTCAGGCAACTTAACAGCCGATCTGAACCAGACGCGTATCCACTTCCCCGAATTGATACTATCTTAAATCGACTACGAGAAGCCAGGTACGTGAGCAGTCTCGATTTGAAGGACGGCTACTGGCAAATCCCTCTGGAGGAGGACAGCAGAAAATATACTGCCTTCACTGTGGCTGGACGAGGACTATATCAATGGAAAGTCATGCCATTTGGTCTCCACTCGGCACCCGCAACATTTCAACGGGCATTGGATAGCGTTATCGGACCAGAGATGGAGCCACATGCGTTTGCCTATTTAGACGATATTGTTGTTATCGGAAGAACATTGGAGGAACATTTAGAGAATCTACGAAATGTTTTCCAGCGGTTGCGTGAAGCCCGATTGCGAATCAACCCCGACAAATGCGAGTTCTTTAAACGTGAGACAAAATATTTGGGTCACGTAATCAGCGGGAAAGGCATTCACACTGACCCCGATAAGGTTGCAGCAATTCAGGGGATAGAGCCACCCAAAACACTTAAGGAGTTACGGCGCTTTTTGGGGGTGGTTTCTTGGTACCGGAGATTTATACCCGATTTTGCCACTATTGCTCAAACCCTAACGTCACTTCTTAAGAAAGGCAAACACTGGAAATGGACGGAAAACCAACAGACAGTGTTTGAAGTGCTCAAAGCCAGACTCACCCAGGCCCCAGTACTCGCCTGCCCTGACTTTGCACGGAGATTTGTCCTTCAGACAGACGCTAGCGATCATGGACTTGGAGCGGTTCTTACCCAGACTTTCGACGAAGGTGAGCGAGTTATAGCATATGCCAGCAGAACGTTGAACGGGGCAGAAAACAACTACTCGGCCACCGAAAAAGAGTGCTTAGCGATAGTATGGGGCATTCGGAAAATGCGCCAATACCTCGAAGGCTACAATTTCCTAGTCATAACGGATCACTTGGCACTAAAATGGCTCAACTCCATTGAGAATCCTACTGGAAGACTAGCACGCTGGGCGTTGGAGTTGCAACAATACACGTTTACCATAGAATACCGGAGGGGAAGCTTAAACGTAGTAGCGGATGCCTTGTCCAGACAGCCGGTGGAACCACTGATGAGGGCCGTGGAGGAATCCGTTACTCAGTGCCCCTGGATTAAGGAAAAATTGCAAGCGATCGAGAAGAACCCGGAGAAGTTTCCAGATTACGCCATAGTAGGCTCAAACTTGTACAGGCACATTCAAAGGACCAAGGATGACGAGGACGACACACCATGGAAGTTATGCGTTCCATCCCAGCTGCGTGAGCGAGTTCTCCAGGAAAATCATAGCCAACCAGCAGCCGGACATCTAGGTATCCGGAAGACAATCAACAGAACGTGTGGACGCTATTATTGGCCTGGCATGACTCGCGATGTGACGCGCTTTGTGAAGAAATGTGAGTCGTGTCAAAGGTACAAGCCAAGTCAGACAGCCCCGGCAGGAGAAATGCTAACTTCGGTACCTGAAGAACCTTGGGCAGTAGTGTGTGCTGACTTCGTGGGCCCAATGCCACGCACCAAGCACGGAAATAGCATGCTCTTGGTATTTGTGGATCGGTTCACAAAGTGGGTTGAGTTAGTCCCAATGCGAAAAGCTACGGCAGAAGGTGTGATAAAAGCATTTAGGGAGAGGATTCTATCTCGATTTGGCGCACCGAAGTTACTCATTACCGATAACGGAAGCCAGTTCACCAGTAAGGTACTGAACGTTTTCCTGGAGGAAACTGGTGTTCGCCGACAATTTACTGCACCATATTGTCCACAGGAAAACCCCACGGAGCGAGCCAACCGAACAATAAAGACAGTTATCGCTCAGCTTACAGGCAATCAGCATAACAAATGGGACGACTTTCTGCCAGAAATTACGTTGGCAGTTAATTCAAGCGTTTCTGAGTCAACGGGGTACAGCCCGGCCTTTCTTGTGCAGGGTCGAGAACCAAGGCTCCCAGGTGCTCTGTTCGATGAGGTAACAATCGGTTCGGGTGCTCGAGTTAAAGAACCTTCGAAGAGGGCGATCGAACTACGTGAAATTTTCCAAATAGTCAAGAAGAACTTGGCTCAAGCTGGAGAAAATCAGAAAAGACGGTATAACCTTAGACGTCGTAAGTGGGCTCCAGTTGTCGGAGACCTTGTACTGGTTAAACAACATCCATTGTCAAAAGCGACGGACAATTTCGCGGCGAAATTGGCACCTAAGTTCGATGGGCCTTTCGAAATTATTAGTTTTCCATCTCCGGTTATCGCGAAGGTTCGGAAAGTTGACGGGAAACACGAGAGGAACGCTCATCTGGGGGATATGAAACCTTACGTCTCACCATCTGAACATCTAAATTGTGTAGATACTAACATAGATACTGTCTCTTCTACCTCAACAGATTCCCAAAAATCAATAATGGACCAACCTACCCAACCATTACGTACAAAGGCTTTTTACAAGCATCAATACCAGCTTGTGGAGTCGCTCAAACCCTGCTCGGTTGTGCTCACGAGGTTAACAGAGGGGGAAACCGATGCACTGCGGAAAAAGAACGCAAGGTCCACACTTGCCCCTAAGCCATCCAAGAGGGCCAACACCAGCGAACCCACAAGGAGGAGGTCCCACAACCAAAAGAAGATGCGACGTGAAGTGCCATCGTCCTCACCGGTAGTAGTCGAGACCATCGTTATCTCATCTGACGATGAGGTACCATCTACCCCGCCCCGGAGACCACCTGTGGTACACGACTACCCCATCACCCCCCCTCCTACAGTGTCACCCATGGCAGCCGGAGACACCTTAACCGACTTACCACCGACGCCAGGTCGTACCCTCTTCATGGACACGGGATTTCCACCGACACCCGGACGTAACATGGGTTTGGCTCTGTCCCCTCGGTATGCACCGGACTCTGAGTCGGAAACCGAATACGGTCAACCCCATATAAACCGTCGGTTGGAACAAGTAAGAAGCCCGAACCCCCCGACAGTATCCAGTGTGGTTGTCGTACCGGTAACTTCGGAAAAATCTGTTGAGGACATCCAATTTGAATGCCGGGAAATGTTACCAGAGGAAATTAGGAGCGAATTACAGCCATGTCTGCGAGAAGCCCTTCGTCGCTGGATACCTCACCACCAACATAAGCGTGTTTTTACCATTGGCGGGAAGAAGCTCCGGGTCCACGTAAATCGACAAGGCAAAACTTTTGTGCGGATGTTGTGAAAGCAGCCGGCTCATTTAGGGAGGGGAGGCAGTGTGACGACGAAAGTCATTTCATTTGTTTTCGTCCCCACTTTGTTGTTTAATTGTCAAATTGTCAAATTTATTTGTGTAAATAATGAATTATTTATATAAATATGAATTTTCATAAACACCGCTTTTTATTTCCAAAACTTAACCAATCCCCCTCATAATTATTTACATCGATTTCTTGTTTGGCATTGATTTTAACACTGGACAGTTAGGTTCAATGACCGTCATATTCAAGGCCACGCAGTCACAGCGAGCAATGTTGTTAGATCAACGCACAACTGCAATGACAATGCACTGCACCAATGCATAGGCAGCCAACAACAAGCAAGCATCACAACGATCGATTCAACCAAAGCATTGCGCCAATGCATAAACACACAACAACAAGCAAGCATGGCACAATGCATAAACGCACAACAACAAACAAGACTCACTGGGCATTGATGCTAATGCATGGTAGTGGAGACCGGACAACGCAGGCATAGCATAACAACAAAGACCATGCATGACAGTGAACCATCGTTCGATGATGGCAAAGCGAATGCATGGAAGACAAAATTTATAACTGTTTTGTCTAACAACAAAAAGGCTTTGCCATAGAAAGTCTGAGATCACGTGACATGCTGCGATCCTATAAAAAGGAAAAGTTCTATGAGAAGTTCTTTCAGTTTTTGAAGTGAACAACAGCAAAGAAGTCAGGTGAGTCAGAGTGGTGACAAGATAGGAAAACTGTTAGAGGTGTCATAGCCCTTCGGTAACTCGTGTTCTCTAACTAGATTCTAAACCCTTGAGGTGTCGCAAAGCCCTTGGGTTCTTCGGGAATTTAGCCCTTGAGGTGTCGTAAAGCCCTTGGGTTCTTCGGGAATTAACCCCTTGAGGTGTCGTAAAGCCCTTGGGTTCTTCGGGTTTCTTCGCTTCTAACCCCTTGAGGTGTCGTAAAGCCCTTGGGTGCTTCGGGAATTAACCCCTTGAGGTGTCGTAAAGCCCTTGGGTTCTTCGGGTTTCTTCGCTTCTAACCCCTTGAGGTGTCGTAAAGCCCTTGGGTGCTTCGGGAATTAACCCCTTGAGGTGTCGTAAAGCCCTTGGGTTCTTCGGGTTTCTTCGCTTCTAACCCCTTGAGGTGTCGTAAAGCCCTTGGGTGCTTCGGGAATTAACCCCTTGAGGTGTCGTAAAGCCCTTGGGTCTTCGGGTATTAACCCCTTGAGGTGTTTTGAAGCCCTTGGGATCATCGTATTTATCCCCTCGAGGCGTTAAAGCCCTTCGGGTCTCTTCGTTTGTAACCCCTTGAGGTGTCAAAGCCCTTGGGCCTTCTGGTATTAACCCCTTGAGGTGTTTTGAAGCCCTTGGGTTCGTCGTATCTATCCCCTTGAGGCGTTAAAGTCCTTCGGGTCTCTTCGTTTTTAACCCCTTGAGGCGTCAAAGCCCTTGGGCCTTCTGGTATTAACCCCTTGAGGTGTTTTTGAAGCCCTTGGGGTCATCGTTTTAACCCCTTGAGGTGTAAAGCCCTTGGGTTCTTCTTTATCAACCCCATTGAGGTGTTCAAGCCCTTCGGGTATCCCCGTTTAATCCCTTGAGGTGTCTACAGCCCTTGGTTTCTACGTTCTTCAATCCCTCGAGGTGGGGTGTTTTCGACAAACACAGGAGGATAACCAGCATCAGAAGAGCAAGGACGCTAAATTTGCCGCATTATATACCAAAATCTATATATACTTTCTTACAAGAGCTGTTTAATATAAGTAAACCCCAATCAATTCTGAATAAACGTTATTTATTTTGCTTAAAACACAAACAACTTGCGTTTTTTACTCTCTCGGTCACTTTATAAATTTCTGTGGCAGACCCTAGACCCCGCGAGCATACCTTAGCCAGAAGAAGGGAATTTGGGTCGTTACATGATAAAACAAAAAATTCAATTGTTTTTACATGGCTTCGGTTGAATTCAAAAGAGCCAAATTTGATCAACTTCCAAACCCTAAAAAGCGTTTAAAATTTGAAAAAATATATATTTCCTATAAAGCGAAGGAAGTATAAAATGTAGTCGAAATCAACATTTCCTTCAAACAAGGAAGACAAATTTGAGTAACGCCACTGAAAGCCATGAAATTAGTCATGATTTCCTTGGCATTTCATGCTTCAAACATTAAGATTAGATCAAGTATAACCATTAGATATATCGGTCTACTTTTTTTGGTACCTTGGCACATTGGTCTTGATTTTATGTTTTTCTGAAAAATTTTAAGGACCTCCTAACAAAAAAGTGGATTTTTAAGATTTTTATATCTTCAACCATGCATAAAATGGAGGCTATATTAAGTTCGCCATTCTGTTTGTAACTCAACGAAATAATAATTTTAGACCCAACAAAGTATACAAATACATTCTTGATCAGCGTAAAATTCTTTACGATTTAGCCCTGTCCATCTGTTGTAATCACGTTAGATTCAAAACGAATTAAGATATAAAGCTAATATTTTGCACATATCTGTCTTTTGTCTGCAGGCAGGTCAAGTTCGAAGATGGGCTATATCGGTTCCCTTGTGAGTATTTTATCCCCTGGAAGAGAATTTCCTATAAAGATCTACGATATCATATATCTCCTATTTAATGGTTCCTCCCGATATTCGGTATGTTGATGCTTTAGCCACATTTTTCAACGGAATTGTCTGAAAATCCACACAAGGATTTTCTTGTGAGTACTTTATTCCCTAGACGAGAATTGTATATATGGGAACATGATATTTATAGCCCCCATATAACGGTAACCCCCCGATATTCGGTATTTTGATCATTTTAGGCAAAATGTTCAATGTAATTGTATTTAAAACCGCACAAGGGGTTCCTTCTGATTACTTTACCCCCTATAAGAGAAATGTCTACATAGGTCCACGTTTTAGCATAGCGCCCATATAACGGTATCCCTAGATATTCGGTATTTTTGTGATTTTTGCGACATTATTCAACGGATTTTTTTCAAATTTCGAGTTCCGAACCGTTAATACAGCCTATGAAAAAAAATTACTTATGCAGAACCACGTCATTGCATAGCCCCCAACGGTTTTCATTTGAGTGATATTTTTCAGCAGAATTTTTTTTGAAATTTTTCAAGTTTTTTCCAAATGGTGGAGGGTATAAAAAGTTTGGCTCGATCAAACTTAACTGCTTTTTTACTTTGATTTGTCTAAAAAAAAAACACCGGTCAAAAGAAAATTTTAACGATTTCCTTATCGTGTTTTGTTCAAAAGGTTTCTTGTAAAAATCACGTTTCTTTTCAAGGATTTCCTAGCCAAAAATCATGGACTTCCTGGTAAGTATCATAGATTTTTAGGTCCTTTTTAAGAATTTCCTGGCAACTAATTGTGTAACATTTGTAAAGAAAATTGTATGTGTTTTTATTTTTTTCGAATATTTCCTGGCAGCTAAGTTCATATCAAGGATTTTTTGAGGGTCAGGACCAAAAATTCGTGGATAAAAATTAAAGTACATTTTGAAGGAAATTCAAATCAAAATTGTGATTTCATAAATATTTTTCTTAAAAAAAGAATATTTTAAACCCAAAAATTGTGGATCAAGGATTTCCAGGATTTCAAGGACAAAAAGCATTGTAATTTCAAGTTCTTCATGGATTTCTAAGAACCATTTAAGGGCTTCTCAAAAAATAAACGTGGATTTGTAAAATAACATTTTTAAGGACTTTAAGTTCGAATGTCGTGAACTTGTAAATCAGACCTCCTCGATGTTATTCATGGACATCCTGCCAAAAAATAGTCATTTAGTAAAAAATAGTTATTTTTAGGACTGATACTTCCATGCTAATTCATTATTTTCTCAGTTTTCATAAATGGTCAATGAAATTTCGAGCTCAATATATTTTTATGGACATGTGAAATTATAACTTTTTTAAAGAAACAAATTTTGAAATGATGTATTTTATTTAGAATTTTTGTGCAAAAAAAAAAAAAAAAAAAAAAAAAATCAGACACTGCTCTACATTTTACCGTATTCTAACTTTTATCTTTTCGGTACTCTGTACTTTCATTCACACTAAAATTCTATACTTTTCTATATTTTTGTGGTTTTGTTTTTCACTTAGGGTTTTGTCGAGCTTATCAATATATTATTTTGAAAATGTAATTTTTCTTCTTGAAATTCCATCCTCCATTTACTTCTAAATTTTTCTGTGAACATTTGTCATAATACCCTGCCCACAAACTGTACATCATCGTACTACAGATTAGCATCACCTATAGGCAAAATTACTATTTATTAGACGAAAAAAGGAGGGGAGTAGAAAAAACAATTATAACCACCTTATGCTAGGCAACTATAATCACACACACACATACACACCCAAAACACTTAGGAGTATTCATTTATTCTTTATCTGCCAGACTGCTAAAATATGTACATATGCATATGGAAAAGCCCATATGTATGAATCCATACTCAATTTCCAATTTATCTGTGTATTTTATGGCCACAAATGGACACATAGATATGTATGTGTCTGCATCAACCTATTGATAAAGCGACTGTCCTTGGAAAAGAATTGTATCTAAATATACCACAGATCTCTGTCTGTGCATAAGCAAGCAGGCAAGCGCACGCGTGTGTGTGTGTGTGCGAGTGTATTTATGTAAATCAATGCTTTTTAGCATCTTAAGTTCAGAACTGATTTAATTTAAATTCATTTGGAAAAAGCTCTTCAAAGCCCAAAACACCACCCAGCAGATAACTAAAACCTCAACGAAAACACTCAAACACACACACTCGCACTCAGATTCGCACTCACATCCAGGCAGATAGATATTCAAGAAATAGACTTGAAGTGAAATGGTTTCCAAGCAATCGACCACTACAACGTCTCATTTAGTCCATGCTGTTTGTGTATTAAATCCGAGTGCAGCTTAGTGCCATGAAGAAGACGAGGTAGTGGAGCAGTCTTTAGTGCCACATCATATCCATATATTAAAATTTTAGGCTTTGGCCAAAGTTATGCTCCTGGGTTGGCCAGGGCACTGCCACAGCCACTCTTTGCCAGGCTAGGCTAGGTGTATAGGCTTAGGTGTTGTATTACTTGACGTCGTTGCCTATGCCGGACACGTTTGCCTGGCACAGAGATAAAAATTCTCTGGGTGTTCAGATTTGCCACAAACAGTCATGTTCATTTCTTTGGGGAGTTCTTCTTCTTCTTGCTGCCCCTCTCCCCATTGGAGGGGTGAAAAGATGGGGAAAAAAGACTGTGGTTGGGTTTTATGAAAAATTTAGATGGAATTATTTGAAAATTCGTAATGCAAACTCAGCAAGCAAGAATAATTTACTTTGGACGATAGCTAAAGGTCGGATAATGTTGGGGAGCTAAAAATGGAAGCACAAAGATTAAAATATATGCACATAATTGAATTAAAGTGGCAAATCCTTAAACGTTTACATATAAATACTAATCCATGTGAAATGGAAACTTTAAACACACACACTCACACGCCCACACACACACCGATACACATACATAATCCATTACATGGACTGAATTTTAAATATATTTAAGTTCAAATAAACCACAAGTTCTGATCTGGCTGTCAGTGCGGTTAGAATGATAGGAATAAAGAAATTAAATACTGACAGGATTGCTATTCTATTAAAAGGAGCTATTGTTTTTGCTGTTGTTGAAAATTGAAAATTTTTAATTAATCCTGTTTCATTACAGCCTTTGTCTATTTGCATAATAAATTTGACACTTAAAATGGAATGAATAAAACAAAAGGAATTTGGGGCATCTTTAGGTGTCCTTTCACAAAGTTTTTTTGTGTGATTTGGTGCTATTGTAAATGTAATTTTAACAAAAAGGAGTTGAGGTGATGGATTAGATATTGAAATTCAAGATTGACATTTTTTTTTTGGAATATCAATTATTTTGAATGCCCAGTCGGGAATACTGAATAATAAAATGTGCTGAGCAAAAAAAGATTTTAATGAAGTTCGATCCACATGCTTGAGGTTTGATTGTTAGGTATTGGCAGTAAAACTATTGCATTTAATTTATGGTAAAAGCTTATGGAAGGAAGTATGTCCTGAAGGCATCAGTTCTAGTAAACTTTTTTTAAAAAAAAAGGAAACACTTATGAGAAAAATAAGTTCAACCTTAGGATTATGTCTACAGAAGGTATGTAATTCTAAAAAAACCCATGTCCCTTTGGGTAAAATTTATTTGAAGAAATTGATGATGAAAGTGGTACCCTTGTGACTGGTTAAATAGTTC